GAGTGTGACCTCTGACCTTCATCACTTACGTCATCATCATCTTTTTTTCCCTTGGCCTCTTGTGTGTTGGCAGAGCCGCCGCCTGCTCCTGTTGCTCAGCTGTGAAACCCTGAAAATCAGATTTCCATCATCATCATTTCCAGCTGGCAGCAGAATATTTCCCGTCCATTTCTTCTAATAACCGGTCTTTATCGTCCTCCCCACCCTCGTCTTCATCAGCCTAATGACTGGAGCTGAGACTTCTCCTCCGTTAACTGATGGATCCTGAATGCTCCGTCACAGTTTCATAAATCTGAGTCTTGCAGAGCAGGTGGAGTTTACTGGGCAGAGATACAGGCTTGGAACTGGGTGGAGGTTTGACGGAGGGTGGAGGAGGGTCAGGGGTCAATGAGGAGTCACTGTGAGTGATGATGTGCCCTCTGGGATGGGAGGTGGTTGCCGTAGTGATGACCTGCAGGTGGTAAAGGTCACGAGGCAGCTTTAGTGTTCAGTTTATAAAGTCACACCAGTTTGATGCGAACGAGTGTGTGTGTGTGTGTGTGTGTGTGTGTGTGTGTGTGTGTGTGTGTGTGTGTGCTCCACAGAGGCGTTTTAAAGCTTTAGGGAACAAACGAGACACAGTACCAGGCACTCACTCACAATGAGCTATTATTAGACACACACACACACACTCACACACTCACACACACAAACAAACAAAAGATCTCTGCTGTGATCAGATATAGAGATGCACATGCAAACAGAACAGCGTCTGAGACAAAAACTACCTTTGGCTGTGTCTGAACATACAGTACTATTGTTTCCATAATGTCAGCAGTGACACAGTCCAAATAGGAAAACAGCTCAGATGATAAACACAGGTCAGCTGCAGTTTATTTATTGCTATGGGAGTATCTGGTTGTATTGAGTGGATATCCAAGTTCAGGATCTGTTCTGCAGCCTCTTCACCCTGATTCTGGTCTCTCCGCAAGATTATGACAAGCTGCTTATGAAGCAGGATGTGGAAATCTGTTAGGAAATGTCATTGTGAAGCTTCTTTATGCAGCTGAAAAGCAACGCATCAGCATTTTGAGTCTGCTATTGATTGCAAAACCAAGAGACTTACGAGAGAAATCAGGAGCCGAGCTTGCTGTGTGCGTCTTCAGAGCCAGGAGGAGAGGCAGGAGACAAAAAGAGCGGCAGAAACTCCAAGACGCTGTCATTGTGAATATCCTGCAGCAGACCCTGCAACAGGGTTTGTGTAGTAATAGGCTGTTTGTGCGATTGACTGCCTGTGAGAGAGCAGTCAGTAGGTCAATGATGCCATTGTGTTTACAAGAAACAGCTGGCCCTGCTGAGCAATCAACTAGAATTACTGCCAAGCATTTATGTGGTTCTATTGCTAATCAGTCAAGTTTGCATCCATGTCTAACCAGACTTGACCTTTGACCTGCTGCATATGAAATTTCATCACTTTATCCTGTTATCCTACCACACATTTGTGCAAAACATTTTGTCATCATTTAC